GAGAGTGGGTCCAGCCAAGCGCTCCAAGCGCTCTGCACTTCTCAAAGAAGTGGACAGCTCTGGAACTGATCACTGGAAAGGAGGAACTGTCTTCGATTCTGGTGATGATCCTGATGACCAAGACTTGACTGCTTTTCTGGAAGCGAACACGTCCTTTCTTTACCAGATGACACAGACAGCTGCCTTTACAGACACGTGTCCATATTTCAATACCGGTTTCCTTCTGTTTTGTGTTTGCCTTCATGCTATGGTGTGACTGTGGAGCAGCTCCACTTGACAATGTAAGGACTTGAGTCATTTGACCAGGAAGTATCTTCCCCCTGGCACAATATTTGAAGTCTTTCAGTACTATTGCGCGTGGTGTTCAGCTCACACAATTGATGCACAAGCTTCGTGCCTTGGATCATACATTCAGATCGGAAAACACAGATCAAACAAAACACATTTGGGGGCACAATCAATTTCAACTTTCCGACACCCAACAGGTACGGCACGTTCTTGCGTCGCTGGAACCAGAAATGGGGGGTGATCATGAAGTTCAGACAGCAGTCCAACTTCAGCCAATGTGACATCTGTCAAGAGCTGAAATTTCAGTGACTTGAAATAATTACCGTGGAAAAGACTTTTTTGATACTATCACCCAACAACCAGTCCCTCAAATAGTTTGTGTTTGCTGCAAGGCCAAAAACACCACAAGGTTTCAGAACAAGGACTTACCGATGGATACAAGGTTAGGAGCTCTGAAGACATATCGGGAACATTTGGTCAGCCAATACTCGGACCGTTGCGCGTACTGGGCAATCCGTGACATCTCAGCAAATGAGCTCAGCAAGACTGTTGTGCTTACAACGGATGGGGCCGATCAGGCAAGATAGTCAAACAACATTAAAGGTTTTACAAGCTTTTGTCACCAAACAAAAGGGTTGTAAGTACAACAAGATTTTGTGTCCCTCAAGGCCAAATACCAAGTACCAAGAAGCCCGTCCTTGCGCACATGCTATCGTGGAGCAAAACACCAGCGAGCAAAAATCAAGATACATGGCTGTTGGGCACCAGGATACGTCTTGAGACTGGCTGTGGTCGAAGAAAATGTCTACCACGGATCCAGCCTTGTTTTGGAGCTTTTGAGTGTGACTATCGAGGACATCATGAGAATAGCCCGTGAGAAGGGCTGGCCACAACCAAATACTTTGGTTGTGGTCGGCGACAACACGGTAAAGGAGCTGAAGAATCGGTATTGTTTGGGAGCAATGGCCCAATACATAAACCATCACAAGTTCCAGCAGTTTTGTGAAATGAGCAAATGTTTGCTTATTTTATGGTAAACACCAGTTCCGAGAACATATATGTATATATATATATATGTATAATATATATATATATTATTGTTGACTAATTTTGTTTTGGAGGGCGAAATCACATGTTACTTTTGTTTAGCACAAACAAACCAACAAGTAAGGTATTGTTGCATGATGATGCTACGTGTGTCACACACACACGACGCCATTGGCCGCTGGGCTGTATCACACTAACTGTATCACACTAACGCACTCAAGTTTATATATGGATTTTAACTATAAGCCAGGTTCTTGTTGCAGTGAACAAACCTTCATCTAAGACCAGTTGTGGGGACTGCTATCGAGACAACTGTGCAAGTCTACACAACTGTTGGATGCATCCTCTGTGCGCGATCTACTTGAGACAGAGCTCCAAAAGACCAATGTGAAAGCTTGGGTGAATGGTGAGGTCAACGTGACCGTGCTGAGGAGATACAGAAACTGGAAAGCCCACTTTGACAAGTTCTCTCCTGCAAGCTATGATTCTCAACTTTGCCAAGTTCCTATTGAATTTATATAGTTTCATGTTAATGTACTTGTTTTCTTTATCTAGACATATACAGTTTGGTTGGTCATGGCTCCAAATGGTTCACAATTATCTTCCAAACAAACATATTCAATGAACCCAAAGGAAGGGGGCTTGCTCTTGGACAAGACTGCCAATCATTTTTCTTCTTCTGCAGGAGACGAGGAGCGGAGTTTGAGACAAACGGTGTATTCCAAAACATTATTGTTTTTCACTTCACACGGGCATTCATTCCCTGCCAGACTTGCCAAGACATCTTGACCAAGATGAGGGGACAATGCGGAAAGCAAAACACGACGATGACACGTTTGTGATTGTGAAGGAGTACATCTCATCCACAAGCATTCGCCAACTGCCTTTACTCGTATTGAGGTCAGAACACCGAGCCTCCTATCCACTTACGACTGATCGACTCCTGGTGCTGTGCTGCCGTAATGTGTTCCAACATTTACCTTTGTTCAAAAACATGGCTCTTACCCATGTTCAAAAGCAACATGTTGTTTGGTGCACTTACTTGTTTACTTGTGGTTGTTTGATTCTAATGCTGAGGAGAGATGCCAAAAAGACCTGTATCGCAAGCACTTCGAGATGGTTGGGTTGCTCTTGCAGCAATATTTGAAACACTTTTGGGTGGCAGCCCAGCAGGCAGGCAAGCAGCCACCTACCTTCGAGATTTGGCTGCTGATCGACTACCTGAACACCCTTTGCATGCTTTGCCCTGGCATAACCAGGATGCGGCGCCAGATGTGGTGATTGCACGACATGAGCCCCATCCTTGTGTGCTTGCGGTCTTATGCCCAAGTGTTCCACTGAGAGTTGTTTGGCGGCGCAACATTGGGTGATGTTGATAGTATGCATACTAGTATGCATGGATAAACAACATATGTCATCATATGTCAATGTTATTTGTTGGTGCTCCACCGCTCAGTGTGCTCCAGAAAGGTTGCTCTGCAAGGCTAAGCCTTCAACCAACCCCACCTGTTGCTGAAAACAGTTCTGACTTGAGATTTCACTGTTTGCCAACAGCAAGTGCTTTTCCACACAGAAACACACATCACATACTGAGGCGCCACTGAGGAGGTGCAGGTTTGAGAGCTGGCTGAGCGACAACTTAACACAGTTGCTGCACCGCCCATGTGTGGCATCGGTAAACATTTATTAAATGTCAATCCGATTCACATTTTGTGCTAGAGATATTTTTTTGTTTGGCCACAAAACAGGGCAAGCAGTTGTGCAACACAATTAGGACTTAGACACAAATGACAGAAATTTTAGGGAGGCAAGCAATTGCTTTCCAACTAATGTTGTGAACACAAAGTTGGTTTCATACTCATTTTGAGTTGATTTGAGACCGTGACAGTTTGTGTGTGCGGCTGAAATTCAGAAGCGAACTCGAATCTGCCAGAGCGTCAGAAGAAAGCAACATTCTCTTTGGATGGCATGAAAACGATGGCACCCACAGGGAGTTTGATGACCACCCAACGTCCAAACTTTGGTTGTCGTCCGGGTGCCGGATTACAAAGACTTTCATCTAAAGTTCAATCAGTCCACTGACTCTTGAGAAATCCCAAAACCTCAGTATCATTGCCCTTGTTAAAATTTGTATAAAGTCTTTGTGGTCTGGCACCCGGACAACGGACAAATCAATGACCACCGGACGTCACAACTCTTGCTGTGGGTGCCATCAAAAACGACTCATCCAAAGTTCCTGGGGTCCGGCTGCCGGAGTACGGAGACTTAGGATGAGTCCCACCCCCA